AAAAATCTGAGGTTCTGCCAAGCGAGAGAGGACTGAGTTGAGTTGAACCGGCTTTGCAAGGGTTAAAGGAAACTGAGCGGCCTTCCTAGAGAGGACAGGAAGCAAGGGGGGGCCAGATCCTCCAGAGCCAAGGCCCCCCCCCCAGTCCTTTCCCGCTTCGGTGTCTCTCCTGCAAGGGCTACCTCGCTGTCCCCTCCTGGGATCTGGTGAGTCTCCTCTCTCTCTGGGATCTGGTGAGTCTCCTCTCTCTCTGGGATCTGGTGAGTCTCCTCTCTCTGGGATCTGGTGAGTCTCCTCTCTCTGGGATCTGGTGGGGGTCCCAGGGCTGCAGCAGGGGAGGGGGCTGGGGGGACCCCAAGTCAGGGAGGAGAGGGTCCTGCCAGGGAGGGGCCAGGTCTGCCACGCTCTCCTTCCTGCAGATCAGAGGATCCCAAACTCATTTGACCCTCCGCCCCCCCCTTTCAGAAAAAATCTCCCTTCTTTACACAAAGGGGTCCCTGGGACTTTAACTCTGTGTGACATCGCTCAGCGTCACTGCACAACAGAGGAAACATCTGCAAATGGTTTTCCAAAACCAGACGAGGAGGTGGACCAGCCCCCCCCCCAAAAAAAAGGGGTGGGAAAGAGAGGCCAGGAATAAAGAGAGGGATCCCAGCCCATAGTCTGGCTGCTGCATTGGGGACCAGATTCCCAGTGTCTCCCAGGGCAGCTCCCCACGGAGGCCACGGCAGCAATCCCCTCGCACCCAGAGCATGGCATCCCAGGACCACATCCTCTCTGTCCCAAAGGAATTGTTGCTGGAAATGGGTGCTGCTACTCACTGAGCCTCCAGGGACCTTGGCATCAATGGCTGTGCGTGTGTTAAGATATCGAATAGAATAATCATAATAAATTGCCAGCCTAAATTTCAAGGGAGATGTCTTTGGCCCTGCGAACGTGGCCCTCAGGGGGTTGTCCAGATACATTCCTGGCCCTCAGAGCAAAAGAAAAGGGACCCCACCCCAGGAGTCTGTCTTGAGAGCGGCAGAGAGTCCAAGTGCAAGAAAAGGAGATAGAAGCAAGGGAGTGGGGGTGGGGGTGGGGGGAGCAACTCCTGAGGACCCCCGGGTGAGGACCCCCACTAGAGCCAAGTATCCATTTTCCACAAGATACAAATGACTCCCTTGTCAGTCAGTTCTGACTTCATGCATTGACTGGAAGGCAGCAGAAACCAGACTGATTCACCTCACATTAATCCCTTTAGTTGCCTCCACATTTTGCATTGCAATCTTTCTTCTAGGTGAGCTAGAGGCTGCTTTCTTCATCTCCTCCTCCTCCTCCTCCTCCTCCTCCTCCAGATGCCTCATGGTTTGGGCTGTGGTGCAGTCCAGCCCTGGTTCCAATAATAATGATGATAATGATGATATTTATACTCCACCCACTCTGGGTGTCTCCCAATAGAATACTAAAAACAGAATGAAACATCAAACATTTAAAACTTCCTTAAAAAGGGCTGCCTTCAGATGTCTTCTAAAAGTCAGATAGTTGTTTATTTCCGTGACATCTGATGGGAGGCTGTTCCACAGGGCGGGCACCAGTAACGAGAAGGCCCTCTTCCTGGTTCCCTGTAACCTTACTTCTCACAGGGAGGGAACCGCCAGAAGGCCCTCGGAGCTGGACCTCAGGCTGAATGATGGAGGTGGAGATGCTACTTCAGGTCTACTGAGCTGAGGCCCTTTAGGGCTTTCAAGGTCAGCACCAACACTTTGAATTGTGCTCAGAAATGTACTGGGAGCCAATGTAGGTCTTTCAGGACTGGTGTTATGTGATCACGGTGGCCGCTCCCAGTCACCAGTCTAGCTGCCGCATTCTGGGTTACGGTAGTTGTAGTTTCTGAGTCACCTTCAAAGGTAGCCCCACATAGAGCTCATGGCAGAAGTCCGAGGGGAAGATAACTAGAGCATGCACCACTGTGGCGAGACAGTCCGCGGGCAGGTAGGGTCTCAATCTGTGTACCAGATGGAGCTGGTAGACAGCTGCCCTGGACACAGAATTGACATGCACATTCATGGACAGCTATGAGTCCAAAATGACTCCCAGGCTGCACACCTAGTCCTTCAGGGGCACAGTTGCCCCATTCAAGACCAGGGAGTTCCCCACACCTGCCCGCCCTCTGTCCCCCAAAAGAGTACTTCTGTCTTGTCAGGATTCAACCTCAATCTGTTAGCCCCCATCCATCCATCAACCAGCCGCCTCCAGGCACTCACACAGGACCTTCACCGCCTTCACATGTTCTGATTTAATAGAGAGGTAGAGCTGGGTATCATCCGCATACTGATGAACACCCCGCCCAAACCTCCTGATGATCCCTCCCAGTAGCTTCATATATGTTAAAAAGCATCGGGGAGAGGACAGAACCCTGAGGCACCCCACAAGTGAGAGCCCAAGGGTCTGAAGATTCATCCCCCACCACCACTTTCTGAACATGGCCCAGGAGGAAGGAGATTAACCGCTGTATAACAGTGCCCCCAGCTCCCAGTCCCTCTAGCCGGTCCAGAAGAATGTTGTGGTTAATGGTATCAAAGGCCACTGAGAGATCCATCAGAACTAGGAAACAGCTCTCCCCTTTGCCCCTAGCCTGCCGGCATGCCTGGAGGTTTTCAGCAACCACCCGCTCAATCACCATGCCCAAAAATGGAAAATTTGAGACTGGGTGATAGTTGGCTATATTGGGCTGGTGGTTTAATAATTGCCTCTTTCATCGGGTCTGAGAAGGCTCCCTCACAGAGAGAAGCATTCACCACCCTGCAGAGCCCATCACCCAGCCCTTCCCGGTTCACTTTTATGAGCCAGGATGATCAAGGAGAAAGGTGGTCAGTTTCACTTGTCCAAGCAGCCCGTCCACATCCTTGGAGGTAACAAACTTGAATTGATCCCACACAACCTAACTAGACAGGACTCTAGCACTCTCCTGCCCTGGCCCTGCTCACACGGTGGAGTCTACCTCTTTCCAAATCTGAGTGACTTTATCTGCAAAAAACTTTGCCAAATCATTGCAGGAGATCTTAGGGTCCTTTTGATGCAGGTGGTTCCACTAAATTGCAAACCACCTAAAAGAGTCTCCTGGTGTTGTTTTCTGCAGATGCAATAGAGGCAGTGAAGAAAGTCATCGCTATCATCACTTGGTAGGCTTGACGTTGAGCTCTAACTCGTATCTGGTCAGATTCAGAGTGTGTTTTCTGCCACCAACACTCTAGCCATCTCAGTGATTGTTTCATCGCCCTCAGTTCCAGGGAAATCCACGGGGCTGTCCAGGCTCCATGTATCGGAGAGGTCGCTTCGGAACCAGGCCATCAATAGCCCTGGTTAACTCCACATTCCAGGGGCCACAAGGAAATCAGCTGAAAGGCCATCAACATAGGATAAAACATCCCCTTCTCCTTTCTGGAAACCATTTGGATCTATTAAGTGGTGGGGGTGGGCCATCCGAATCAGTCCCACCTCCCTGCAGAGGGGAAAGGTCGTGGAGAAGTCCAGTTGCACCAGGAAGTGATCTGACCATGACACTTATTTTGTTTTAGTTTCACTTCGTGTCAGATCACCCACATCCATAGAGGTGAACATGCCAGGTCAAGTCCTCCATCCAAGTCGTGGATGGCAGTGGTCTCATGAACCATTGACCTGGCATTGCGTAGCAGACCCTTAAGGTCACGTGGGTCTCCCTTGCTGATTCCAGCATCCATCCAGTCAAGACCTGACCCGGAGGCAGGGATGGTCCTCAAACAATGACATGGTCTGGTCTTGGTGTAACACTTCCTCCTACCCGTGACCACTGTGATCGGGTGTCCCAGTGCATCCCCACCCCCACCCCGGGGAACTTGCCCCTGCCATTCTGTTGGATGGGGCCCACTCCCAGACAGCCCTGACCCTCTCGCCTAAGGAACAAAACTATACAAACTATATAAAACTATATCAACTATACAAAAAATAAAAATATTAACTAGGAATAATAAAAACAATTCCGTAACAATGCATTTGCTTTGTAGGAATTGCTAGAGCTTCTCATTAAGACAGAACTTGGCAGAAGACCAAAGGGTTCCTTCTGATCTCTCAGAGGCTCCCTCAGGGCACAGATGGATGAGCAAGACTCAGCTGGCCCTGGAGCAGGAAGAGGCCATGCCAACCAAACTGGGAGCAATGAGGGATTCTGGGAAAACCCTGTGCAGAAGATCCTGGGTGAGGAGGACACCCTCTGCTCAGAGGTGCAGATCCAGCAGTTCAGGAGGTTCTGCTGCCAGGAGGCCGAAGGACCCCGAGAGGTTTGCAGCCGACTCTACCACGTTGACCGTCAGTGGCTGAAGCCAGAAAGGCACACGAAAGCTGAGATGCTGGACCTGGTGATCTTGGAGCAGTTCCTGGCTGTCCTTCCCCTGGAGATGGAGAGCTGGGTGAGGGACTGTGGAGCAGAGACCAGTTCCCAGGCGGTGGCCCTGGCCGAAGGTTTCCTCCTGAGTCAGGCAGAGGAGAGAAAGCAGGAACTGAGAAAGCAGGTGAGAGAGACTTTCCTCTGGATACTCCCAAGGGGCTCCAAACAGGATGGAAAACATCCCATAATGCTCTACTGATGGCTCATCCTTTTTCTGGGAAGACATCCATGGAATGAGATCTAAAACCTTTGAAGTCTTTGTCATTCTCTTTCTAGTATTTCTCCCCATTCTCTGTTTTCAATCCTTGTTTCTTTTTTAGGAAAAGGATCATTTTGCAGAAATGGACCTGGATTCCTGTGAGGCAGAGAGGCCTCCGTTGGACACCAGAGAGAGGCCACTGGGTAAGGAGGAAGGTGGTTTTTCTCCGTTTGATCTCATTCTGTTGCTTTCCCAACTAATCTGTGGGTTGTTTTCATCTTGGTTTATTTTTTTTGGGGGGGGGGGAGCAGTTGGGACCAAGGGTCCAAAGGAAGTGTCAGGGAAATGGAGACAGAAAGGGAGAAGGGCCTGCGAAGAGACCTCCTTTGATCAGCAGCTGTTTGTCTTCAGAAGAGGGAGAAGACGAAGAGGGGTCAGAGGGGGGTGAATCTGAGAGGGAGGATGAACTTCCGAGGGCAAGCACCTCTCGTCATAGAGGAAGGAGGGGGGTTGGGCTTCGACGTTGGCTATGCTGGCCCCCAAAACGGAAGGAAGTTAGTCGGGACAACTACCCACCATGATCGAGTCGCACTTTTGAACTGCTGTAAATAATGTCAAGAAGAAATAAACCCTTTGTAAATATGGCTGGGTTCCCAGGCTCTTATCTCCGCTGAGTGCTCACAACTCATTTCTGACAGGAAGGGAGAAGGAGTTTTGCACAACTAACATGAAATGGGCACAAACGTCCAAATGCACTCAGCAGGTAAGGCTTTCTGAAAGGCCCATCTGTCGTTAGAGATGCCCTGATTCACCTGTGAGAGAAGCAGGCACTCCTGGCGTCCTGCTTACCTTTTTTCTTTTGCAGGTGACAGAATGATGCCGGCAAGACCTCCTTATCCATCTTTTCATGGGGGCAGATGGGAAGCAGCGGCTCTGGAACCAGATCAGGTCAGGGGAAGCTGCCTTGTGGGGACAGAGGCCGAGGGGTGGAGCAATGTCATGGACTGGTTGGGCACAGAGGAATGGTGGGAGGAAGCAGCCGGGGAGCCAGGAAGGGAAAACGGTTCAGAGCCCAGGGAGTGGAGGTGGAGGAAGGATGAGGGAGAAGCCTGGGAAGAGGAGGTGTCAGAAGCTGAAGGGGCAACAGGGCTTAGTGAGCTGGGAGACTCTGTGGCAGAATGCAGTCCAGAATCAGAGGCAGAAGAGGAAGGAGGCGAGTGGGAGGAGGGAGGTCGAGAGGCAGAGGTGAGTCAGGAGAAGGAGGAGCCACCGGGGGCTCCCTCTCCTTCTGCCAGAAGCCACCCTCCCTGCTTGTCTCTCAGAGCCAGGAGACGTCTGACAATGGAGGAGCAAAGGCAAGCTGCACACTGGTGCATCGCTTGCAAGAAACGCCAGAGAGGAGGGGACTTGGAAAGCTGTGGGGAGCCAGGGGCCTTCACATACCCTCAGGGAATGAGTTGCTGTTCTCATTCGGCCTGAAACTCAGCCAAGTCTGTGAATATCGTGTTCTTGCTGAGAAAGAGTTAACTCCAGCTGTGAACTGTGGGTTTTCCTGTCCATACAACTCTGTGGCGCCAGCTGTCAGGGAGGATTCGGAGGAGTAATGGACAGAAGAGGCAGAACAGGGGGCGGAGAGCAGTCAGGGGGAGCCGGGGCTCAGGGATGCTGAAGATCCCCTCAACCACCTAGAGGCTCAGGGAGGAAGCTGAGACTCCGGAAGGGAGGAGGCTTTCAAATCAGCACAGACAAGAAGGGAAATGAAACGTAAGGATCAAAGACGTCTTGCGCGGCAATCGTAGGAAGCCGCTCCCCGAATCTGACTCAACAGGTTTGGACGCGTAATTCTGAACTGTAGCTGTTTCTTGTATATGTGTAATAAAGACTGTAAATACCACACTGACTATGCCAAAGTGTTACTGTGCAGGGGAAACACCACCTTTACACCAGCCTTCTGAATATCGCCAGTAGGATTCATCTGTAGTTGCTGTTTTCATAGAATTCTAGAGTTGAAAGGGACCCCAAAGGTCATCAAGTCCAACCCCCTGCATTGCAGGAATCTCAGCTAGATCACCCAAGACAGATGACCATCCAGACTAGGCTTCTTTTATTTCTATATTGAACACTGAATGCTAAAATAGGCTTCTAAGCAGTGGACAGATGATTACAAATAGTGTCCAGGATTCTCCTAGCCAGCCCCATCCGCTGCAAAATAGGGCCTGCCCCCCCATTCCTCCCCCTCTCCATGCCCCCATGAACCCCTTGAATTTGGCTCTAGGGCATTGGGAGGGAACCTCCCCAGAACAACTCACGAGGAGAGGAGAAAGTGGATCCTTCCATCGGGGAAACTGGAATGCTTGCGTAGGCAGAATAACGTAAACATAAGCTGGAGTACCACCTATTTGCAAAAAGACGAATACCCACAGTTAAAATGCAGAATAAAAGAATTCAATTAAAGCGTTAAAATAGGTACTCATAATTAAAATGTGCAGCAAAGCAATCCTATTGAAATAACAGAGCAATTAACAGGAAGGAAACAACAGAGCATTGTGTAGCAGATCATATTTCTGCTGTCTCAGAGGAGGACATTTCCCTTTTCTTTTAGGGTCCAGTGTGCTTTGAAGATGTTGCTGTTCTTTTCACGGACGAGGAGTGGGCGTTGTTGGATCATGACCAGAGAGCTCTGCATAAGTACGTCATGGAGGAGATTTGTGGGATCGTGGCCTCTCTTGGTAAGGCTCCCTGTGGGATCGTCCTATCTGCCAGGAAATTCAAAAAATACCTCTATGTGACAAACCTCATCTATTTTCACAGAGCTCAACGGCGCCCCCCACAACACCTGGGAACCTAATGCCCCCACAATAAACCTTGAACAGCAAATTACAGTTTTTTCTGTCAAAAATCTTCCACCAGTTCTGCCTTTTTATACTACGATTCGGCTGGTCAGAACTGCCCAGGCATCTTAAATGTCAACTTAAGAGTTGTTAGGAAAGATAAGTAGTTTCTGTCAGGTTTTCTGTTTTTGTTTTTGCTGCTGTCAGTCTTGGGTTGACCAAAGAGATGACTGACACTGGAGATGGAGGGATGCCATGACTGGGCCAAACAAAATCCGTCCCAGAGAAGAGCCAGGCTTATTGAATCTCAGGTAGTAGTAGCAGTGATAGTAATAGTAATAATTTTTATTTATCCCCTGCCCATCTGGCTGGGTTGCCCCAGCTCCTCTGGGTGGCTTCCAACACATAGAATCATAGAATCATAGAGTTGGGAGAGACCACAAGGGCCATCGAGTCCAACCCCCTGCCAAGCAGGAAACACCATCAGAGCACTCCTGACATATGGTTGTCAAGCCTCTGCTTAAAGACCTCCAAAGAAGGAGACTCCACCACACTCCTTGGCAGCAAATTCCACTGTCGAACAGCTCTTACTGTCAGGAAGTTCTTCCTAATGTTTAGGTGGAATCTTCTTTCTTGTAGTTTGGATCCATTGCTCCGTGTCCGCTTCTCTGGAGCAGCAGAAAACAACCTTTCTCCCTCCTCTATATGACATCCTTTTAGATATTTGAACATGGCTATCATATCACCCCTTAACCTCCTCTTCTCCAGGCTAAACATGCCCAGCTCCCTTAGCCGTTCCTCATAAGGCATCGTTTCCAGGCCTTTGACCATTTTGGTTGCCCTCCTCTGGACACGTTCCAGTTTGTCAGTGTCCTTCTTGAACTGTGGTGCCCAGAACTGGACACAGTACTCCAGGTGAGGTCTGACCAGAGCAGAATACAGTGGCACTATTACTTCCCTTGATCTAGATGCTATACACCTATTGATGCAGCCCAGAGTTGCATTGGCTTTTCTAGCTGCCGCGTCACACTGTTGGCTCATGTCAAGTTTGTGGTCAACCAAGACTCCTAGATCCTTTTCACATGTACTGCTCTCAAGGCAGGTGTCACCCATCTTGTATTTGTGCCTCTCATTTTTTTGCCCAAGTGCAATACTTTACATTTCTCCCTGTTAAAGTTCATCTTGTTTGTTTTGGCCCAGTTCTCTAATCTGTCAAGGTCGTTTTGAAGTGTGATCCTGTCCTCTGGGGTGTTAGCCACCCCTCCCAGTTTGGTGTCATCTGCAAATTTGATCAGGATGCCCTTGAGTCCATCATCCAAGTCGTTGATAAAGATATTGAATAAGACCGGGCCCAAGACAGAACCCTGTGGCACTCCACTAGTCACTCTTCTCCAGGATGAAGAGGAACCATTGATGAGCACCCTTTGGGTTCGGTCAGTCAGCCAGTTACAAATCCACTGAGTGGTAGCATAGTCAAGACCGCATTTTACCAGCTTCTTTACAAGAATATCATGAGGCACCTTGTCAAATGCCTTGCTGAAATCAAGGTAGGCTACATCCACTGCATTCCCTTCATCTACCAGGCTTGTAATTCTGTCAAAACGAGATCAGGTTAGTCTGACATGACTTATTTTTCAGAAATCCATGCTGACTATTGGTGATCACAGCATTCCTTTCTAGGTGCTCACAGACTGTTTGCTTAATGCTCTGCTCCAGAATCTTCCCTGGTATTGATGTCAGACTGACTGGGCGGTAATTATTTGGGTCCTCTCTTTTCCCCTTTTTGAAAATGGGGACAACATTTGCCCTCCTCCAGTCTGCCGGGACTTTGCCTGTTCTCCAGGAATTCTCAAAGATGACTGCCAGTGGTTCTGAGATCACATCTGCCAGTTCTTTTAATACTCTTGGATGCAGTTCATCTGGCCCTGGAGACTTGAATACATCTAAACTAGCCAAGTATTCTTGTACTATCTCCTTAGTTATTCTGGGCTGTGTTTCCTCTGCTGAATCATTTGCTCCAAATTCTTCAGGTCGGGCAATGTTTTCTTTATCGGAGAAGACTGAGGCAAAGAAGGCATTGAGGAGTTCAGCCCTTTCTGTGTCCCCTGTTTGCATTTCACCATCTTCTCCTCTGAGTGACCCCACTGTTTCTTTGTTCTTCCTTTTGCTACGGACATACCCATAAAAGCCTTTTTTGTTGCTTTTAACCTCTCTAGCAAGCCTGAGTTCATTCTGTGCTTTAGCTTTTCTGACTTTGTGTCTACACGTGCTGGCTATTTGTTTGAATTCCTCTTTGGTGGTTCCCCCCTTTTCCATTTTTTGTACACATCCTTTTTTAATCCTAACTCAGTTAAAAGTTCTTTAGATAGCCACCCTGGCTTCTTTAGGCACCTTCCATGTTTCCGTCTCATTCCGTTCTATTGTTTTCCTCTATTTCTTTGCATTGCTCGTTTAAGAAGGCCTTCTTGTCTCTCCTTGCTATTTTTGGAAATCTGCATTCAATTTCCTGTATCTTTCACTATCTCCCTCGCATTTTGCTTGCCTTCTCTCCCCCGCTATTTGTAAGGCCTCATTGGACAGCCACTTTGCTTTCTTGCATTTCCTTTTCATTGGGATGGTTTTAGTTGCTGCCTCCTGTATAATGTTACGAGCCTCCATCCATAGTTCTTCAGGCACTCTGTCCACCAAATCTAAATCCTTAAACCTGTTCCTCACTTCCACTGTGTATTCATAAGGGATTTGACTTAGATTGTATCTTACCGGCCCAGTGGTTTTTCCTACTTTCTTCAGTTTAAGCTTGAATTTTGCTATAAGAAGCTGATGATCTGAGCCACAGTCAGCTCCAGGTCTTGTTTTTGCTGACTGTATAGAGCTTCTCCATCTTTGGCTGCAGAGAATATAATCAATCTGATTTTGATGCTGCCCATCTGGTGATGTCCATGTGTAGAGTCGTCTCTTGTGTTGTTGGAAAAGAGTGTTTGTGATGACCAGCTTGTTCTCTTGGCAGAACTCTATTAGCCTTTGCCCTGCTTCATTTTGAACTCCAAGGGCAAACTTGCCAGTTGTTCCTTTTATCTCTTGACTCCCTACTTTAGCATTCCAATCCCCTATAATGAGAAGAACATCCTTCTTTGGTGGTGTCATTTCTATAAGGTGTTGTAAGTCTTCATAGAATTGGTCAATTTCAGTTTCTTCAGCACCAGTGGTTGGTGCATAAACTTGGATTACTGTGATGTTAAAAGGTCTGCCTTGGATTCGTATCGAGATCATTCTATCATTTTTGAGATTTCATCCCAGTACAGCTTTTGCCACTCTTTTGTTGACTATGAGGGCCACTCCATTTCTTTTACGGGTTTCTTGCCCACAGTAGTAGATGTGATGGTCATCCGAACTGAATTCGCCCATTCCCGTCCATTTTAGTTCACTGATGCCCAGGATGTCAATATTTATTCTTGCCATCTCATTTTTGACCACATCCAACTTGCCAAGGTTCATGGTTCTTACATTCCAGGTTCCTATGCAATATTTTTCTTTACAGCATTGCACTTTCCTTTCACTTCCAGGCATATCCGCAACTGAGCGTCCTTTCGGCTTTGGCCCAGCCGCTTCATCAGCTCTGAATCTACTTGTACTTGTCCTCCGCTCTTCCTCAGTAGCATGTTGGACGCCTTCCGACCTGAGGGGCTCATCTTCCAGCGTCATAACATTTATATGCCTGTTGTCTTTGTCCATGGAGTTTTCTTGGCAGGGATACTGGAGTGGCTTGCCGGTTCCTGTTCCAGGTGGATCACGTTTGGTCAAAACTCTCCACTATGACCTGTCCATCTTGGGTGGCTCTTCACGGCATAGCTCATAGCTTCTCTGAGTTATTCAAGCCCCTTCGCCATGGCAAGGCAGTGATCCATGAAGGGGATGATCCATGAACAACTTATACTAGTGGCTAAAATCATGGAAACCTTTTTTAAAAGTGTGTTTGATGGCTCATAACACCACTTTTTTGGGAAATGATACCATAGGAAAGGGACGCGGGTGGCGCTGTGGGTTAAACCACAGAGCCTAGGGCTTGCCAATCAGAAGGTCGGTGGTTCGAATCCCCACGATGGGGTGAGCTCCCGTTGCTCGGTCCCTGCTCCTCCCAACCTAGCCGTTCGAAAGCACGTCAAAGTGCAAATAGATAAATAGGTACCGCTCCGGCGGGAAGGTAAACTGCGTTTCCGTGCGCTGCTCTGGTTCGCCAGAAGCGGCTTAGTCATGCTGGCCACATGACCCGGAAGCTGTCTGTGGACAAACTGGCTCTCTCGGCCAATAAAGCGAGATGAGCGCCGCAACCCCAGAGTCGGTCACGACTGGATCTAATGGTCAGGGGTCCCTTTACCTTTACCTTACCATAGCAAAGATAATTTAATGAAGATTGCAATGCAATAACTTTTATGGAGGAGTATTTATTAGAACAGTAGTCATAACAAAGAAATGTGAAACGCTTAGAAAAAAGGAGATATACAGAAATTCTCACCATGTCAATTAATACTGACTTCGGTAACCTTTAGCTTTAATTCCGGCCTTACAACGCCTTCCCATGGAGTGAAGCAAGGTTTTTAGTTCTGCAGCTGCAATAATGTGAAACCAAGACTGAATTATTGCCTCTATTAATTGGGCTTTATTGCTGGGTTGCTTCTGACTAACAAGTTTCTTTAGTCGGTTCCCAAGATTTTCGCTTGGGCTATTCCCAGGCCATTCCAGCAGTGGAATATGATTTCACATTCAGAACACTTCAGTTCAGGCTCAAGTATTTGATTTATGTATTTGGGGGCATTGACGTTCCCATTAATGACACAAATTCTGCCCCCACCTTTTGCTGTCATACAACTCCAGATCATCACACTATCTGGGTGTTTCACGGTCGGTGTAATGCAAGTAGGATGTAAATCTCCCATTCTCCTCCTCGCGTATGTCATACCATCACTACCAAGCAAGGAGATTGGGGTCTCATTGCTCCAAATAACACTGTCCCATTGTTCCGCTGACCAGTTACCATGGGTTTTAGCCAGTTTAATCTTTTCCACCTTTGCTTGAGAGATAATGGCTTTTCCGTTGGAATTCTAGCATTATACCAGTCCTTGCACTCAACTTCACCTTACATTGCCCCATGTCATCTTGTAAACACCCAGATGATTTTCTTCTGTCACGTAGGCACAGTCTCTTCATCCTTCGATCGTCACTTGCTGTTGTGCACCTTTTCCTTCCTTTACCAGTCTGATTTTGTAGTGACTGAGTCTCCTTATACCTCTTCACAAATATAGAAAGGCCAGCTTTGGTTAAGTTTTCCTCAATCTTTCTTCTTTTTTCTTTTTTAAAAATGAATATTTATTGAATTTTATAACAAATAAAAATATCTTAATCATGATGTTATATACAATTGTTCTCCGTCCCGTCCTCCGGATTTCCCTTGACTCTGTTACAATATGAGAACATCGCAGCTGCAGACAGCCAGCTTGTTGACATCATGTGATATGGCTAGCTGTTGGAAAGTAAATTCCGGGAAGTTCACAGGCTTTGGAAGTCTGTGTCCAGTGTGTAATTTGAGACCTTCCTGTTGTGTTTGTAAAGGAAGTCTTTGTCACTTGCTGGATGGAAACTGAAGTGATCGGACACGTTTTCTGTAGAGCTGTAATGCCAGAAATAAACAATATGTAAATAGATTTCTGACTACTCTTCTTTCCCCTGCAAAGGGGGAGAAGTGGGCGTGCATTTTCCACGCTGGGAAATGTCGCCTATATCAAGATCTCCCTGGTCTGTCTGGGAACGCAGCCAGAGGCAGATCACCGGTAAACCAGCTCCGGGAGCAGGGAGAGGGGACAGCCTCTCCAGATGGGGCTAGTTTTCCAACAAACTCCCCCTCTACTGAGTTATTTAGTTTTATTTATTGTGTCCTGCTTTATATAAAAGTAAATTCCCTTATCATTTTGTTAAAATTTCTATTACTATAATAAAGTTGTGAATGTTTATTCAGACCCTGCCAGTGAGTCCAATCCATTTTGTTGTTTCTGCAAATAACCTGTAAATGGTTCCCAAACTCTTTCAAAATCCTTTTTGTCCTTCTCTCATAGTTTCTCTGTTAGCTTAACCAATTCTGCATAATTCACCAGTTTTTCTTACCATTGTTCTTTTGATGGTATTTCTTCCATCTTCCAATTTTGTGCAGTCAAGATTCTTGCCACTGTTGTAGCATACATAAATAATGTCCATTTTTCTTTTGGCAGCTCTTGATTTGAGATACCTAACAGAAAGGCTTCAGGATGTTTACCAAAGCTCATTTTAAACATTTTTTTCAGTTCATTATATATCATTTCCCAATATTTTTTAATGCATTTGCATTCCCACCACATATGATAAAATGTTCCTTCCTTTTCTTTACATCTCCAGCATCTCTTATTTTCTTTCTTAAACATCTTTGCCATTTTCACTGGTGTGATATACCATCTATACATCATTTTCATGTAAATTTCTCTTAATAATATACAATCTGTAAATTTTATGTCAACTTTCCCCAATTTCCCCCAACTTGCAACCTGAATGTTGTGTCCCACATACTGAGCCCATTTGAACATGACTGATTTAACCTCTTCATCTTTGGTTTCCCACTCTAATAAAATGCTATATACCGTATTTTTCGCTCTATAGGACGCACTTTTCCCCCTCCAAAAATTGAGAGGAAATGTGTGTGCATCCTGTAGAGCGAATGCAGGCTGCGCAGCGCTCCGTCTCACTGTTCTAGCTTTGGGATAGCTGCGCAAAGCCTCCGCAGGGCAGCGGGGTGCCTTCACCCCGCTTCTCTGCGGAGGAATCAAAGGCTGCACTCCAGGGGCTTCAGGCAGCTATCCGCAAGCCTTCCGAGTGTGGCAGGAGTTCCCGCTGTGCTCGGAAGGCTTGCGGATAGCTGCCTGTTCTGGGGGTTGGGGTCGGGGGAAGCCCGTCCCCAGCCCTGCAAGCTCCGGGAGTGGCGGCGAGGTTGCGCTCAATCTTGCCGCTGCTCCTGGACCTGTTCTGGGGACTGGGGTCGGGGGACCCCGCCCCAGCCCCGCGGCTAAAAACGAAGCCAAGACAGCGAGCGGGATCCATCCCGCTCGCTGTCTTGGCTTCTGCCAAAGCCGTACGCAGCCTCTCCCGGCTGGAGAGGTTGGCGCAGCTAAAGAGGAAGCCAAGACAGCCCGCGGGATGGATCCCGCTCGTTTTCTTGGCTTCTTTGCTCTTTGGGGCTGGGGGGAGAAATAAGTTTTTTTCCTTTATTTCCCCCCCTATGCGCCCTACGGAGCAAAAAATACAGTACTTTTTAAAACAAAATTGAATAAAATTGGAAAAAGAAAAAGAATCCTCCATTTTTCTTCTAATTTCTTCATAACTGAAGCCTTTTTCATTTAATAGTACTATTTTACATCACCTCTGGGTGTCCAGTCAACTTCTTGTGCCATTTCTTTATTTTTATTATGTTTTACAAACCACTAAATGAAAAAACAACAAATAACCAACCAACATGATAGCCATCACACAACACACTGTCAAAAGTCAACCTAAGCAAGGTGTGCTTCCTTTTTCTGGTTATTCAGTTTTGACTTTTGATAGAATACAGATACAGATTACATTCTTCATTAAATTATCTTTCCATTGATACATAATTCTAAGGTATTACTCAAAACAAAGTGGTGTTATGAGCCATCAAATATCTGAAATACATTTTCTCCCCAAAAGGCTTCCACAATTTTGGCCACTATTGTATATCAAACAAATCGACATTCATCAATCCATCAGAATATATTAATAAAAATGTTGGTTAATGACAACCAACAAAGGCAACGAACAAACACCCCACTCCCTTCAGTTCTTGATTTGTTCCTGAGGCTCTAATCCCTTTTTTGTCTCCATTGCAGATTTTGATGACTTGGAAAACAAGAACAAGGATAAACATGACCAAAACCCCGGAGAGGAGAAGCCATGCAAAAATTTGGAATGTGGAGAGAGCAGCAGTGAGAGGTCCTCTCTCACTTCCCAACCAAGAATTCTCATTGGAAAGAAACCCTATCAGTGCTTCAATCTCACTTCCCATCAGAAAATTCATAAAGGGGAGAAACCCTATCAGTGCTTTGAATTTGAAAAGAGCTTCAGTCTGGGCTCCCATCTCATTTCCCATCAGAGAATTCATACAGGGGAGAAAACCTATCAGTGCATGGAATGTGGAAAGAGCTTCAGACAGATCTCTGATCTCACTTCCCATCAAAGAAATCAGACAGGGGAGAAACCCTATCAGTGTGTGGAATGTGGAAAGAGCTTCAGACAGATCTCTGATCTCACTTCCCATCAGAGAATTCATACTGGGGAGAAACCCTATCAGTGCGTGGAATGTGAAAACAGCTTCAGGAACAGCTCGGATCTCACTTCCCATCGAAGAATTCATACAGGAGAGAAACCCTATCAGTGTGTGGAATGTGGAAAGCGCTTCAGTTGCAGCCAACATCTCACTTCCCATCAGAGAATTCATACAGGGGAGAAACCCTATCAGTGTGGGGAATGTGGAAAGAGCTTCAGCATGAGCTCCTCTCTCACTAGGCATCAGAGAATTCATACAGGGAGAAACCTTATCAGTGTGTGGAATGTGGAAAGAGCTTCAGTCAGAGCTCCGATCTCACTTCCCATCAAAGAATTCATACAGGGGAGAAACCCTATCAGTGCGTGGAATGTGGAAAGAGCTTCAGTAAGAGCTCCTCTCTCACTTTCCATCAAAGAATTCATAGAGGGGAGAAACCCTATCAGTGTGTGGAATGTGGAAAGAGCTTCAGTAAGAGCTACCATCTCACTTCCCATCAGAGAATTCATACTGGGAGAAACCCTATCAGTGTGTGGAATGTGGAAAGAGCTTCAATACGAGCTCCTATCTCAGTTCCCATCGAAGAATTCATACAGGAGAGAAACCCTATCAGTGCATGGAATGTGGAAAGAGCTTCATTCAGAGCTCCTCTCTCATTTCCCATCATAAAATTCATACAAGAGAGAAACCCTATCAGTGCGTGGAATGTGGAAAGAGCTTCACTCAGAGCTCCTCTCTCACTTCCCATCATAAAATTCATACAAGAGAGAAACCCTATCAGTGCGTGGAATGTGGAAAGAGCTTCACTGATAGCTCCCATTTCACTTCCCATCAAAGAATTCATACAGGGGAGAAACCCTATCAGTGTGTGGAATGTGGAAAGAGCTTCAGTTACAGCCACCATCTCACTTCCCATCAGAGAATTCATACTGGGGAGAAACCCTATCAGTGCCTGGAATGTGGAAAGAGCTTCACTCAGAGCGCCTCTCTCACTTCCCATCATAAAATTCATACAAGAGAGAGACCCTATCAGTGCGTGGAATGTGGAAAGAGCTTCAGTAAGAGCTCCAATCTCACTATGCATCAGAGAATTCATACAGGGGAGAAACCCTATCAGTGTGGGGAATGTGGAAAGAGCTTCAGTCAGAGCTCCCATCTCACTTCCCATCAGAGAATTCATAATGGGGAGAAACCCTATCAGTGCGTGGAATGTGGAAAGAGCTTCACTCAGAGCTCCTCTCTCACTTCCCATCATAAAATTCATACAAGAGAGAAACCCTATCAGTGTGTGAAATGTGGAAAGAGCTTCAGTACAAGCTCCTCTCTCAATTCCCATCAAAGAATTCATACAGGGGAGAAACCCTATCAGTGTGTGGAATGTGGAAAGAGCTTCAGGAAGAGCTGCTCTCTCACTTGCCATCAAAGAATTCATACAGGGGAGAAACCCTATCACTGTGTGGAATGTGGAAAGAGCTTCAGTTACAGCCAGTATCTCACTTCCCATCAGAGAATTCATACAGGGGAGAAACCCTATCAGTGCATGGAATGTGGAAAGAGCTTCAGTCAGAGCTCCCATCTCACTAAGCATCAAAGAATTCATACAGGGGAGAAACCCTATCAGTGCGTGGAATGTGGAAAGAGCTTCACTCAGAACTCCTCTCTCACTTTCCATCGGAGAATTCATACAGGGGAGAAACCCTATCAGTGCATGCAATGTGGAAAGAGCTTCAGTAAGAGCTCCAATCTCACTTTTCATCAGAAAATTCATACAAGAGAGAAACCCTATCAGTGTGTGGAATGTGGAAAGAGCTTCAGTACAAGCTCCTCTCTCAATTCCCATCAAAGAATTCATACAGGGGAGAAACCCTATCACTGTGTGGAATGTGGAAAGAGCTTCAGTTACAGCCACTATCTCACTTCCCATCAGAGAATTCATACAAGGGAGAAACCCTATCAGTGCATGGAATGTGGAAAGAGCTTCAGTCAGAGCTCCCATCTCACTAATCATCAGAGAATTCATACAAACGTTGGAAAAACCATTATATAGCTTTAGGAGCCAGGCAAATCCGCACCTTGTTAACCAGGCCTTGGGCTGATTGACATCTAATGCCCTTTTAAAATGTGGTAGGGAGGGGGGTTACAGATGTGTATTTTGTGTTTTTATATTGTCTTTTTATGTTGTAACCGTCCTGAGACATGTGGGAACAGGAGTCGACTTTTAGAGGCCGATGGGTCTTTGCCCCCCCCCCATAATATACAGTCGTACCTCTTGTTACGTTTGTTTCAGGTTACGTCTTTTCAGGTTGCATCCCGCGGTGACCCGGAAGTGCCTGAAAGGGTTTACTTCCAGGTTTTGCCACTCACACATGTGCAGACACGTAGAATGACATCACACAAATGTGCAGAAGCGGCAAATCGCGACCCACGCATGCGCAGACACGCAGATGTGGATTGTGTTCCTTTCAGGTTGTGAACATGGCTCCGGAACTGATCCCATTTGCAACCAGTTGGGAAACCCCCAGTTGGTAGGCATTGCCATTCAAATGGCGTGCATGCATCATGTCATTGATTGTACAAGGCGGGCCTTACCTGGCCCCCCCACCTATATTTGATTCAAGTTGGCATCACTGGGTCGGGTGGTATACAAATTAAATAAATACATAAATCGCTCTCCTTTGCACATGTTCCAGCTTGTCAATATCCTTATTTATTATCATTTTTAAAGTTTATGTGCCTTTCTCCTGAAGATTTCACAACAAAAACACAAAGGATGAAAGCATGGCTTTCTCAAAAACAAGTCAAGCCAGAGAAATCTCTCCTCCCCTTTTTTGGATGGAGTTACAAATTTTGTAGTGTGTTTTGATTTCAGTAAGGCTTTTGACAAAGTCCCCTGTGATATTTATGTGAGGAAGATGGTAAAATGTGGGCTGAATGAGGTAACTGTTAGCTGGATTTGACTGACCGAACCCAAAGAGGACTCCTTCATGGTTCCTCATCATCCTGGGGAAAAGTGACAAGAGGGGTGCTGCTGTTAGGATATTTCCGTTCCACCTTAAAAGGGAGCAGGCTTTGTGAGTCACAGAGTCTGCGTATTTCCTGTTCACAGGATGTTTCTTTTTTTGTTTTTTAAAAAAATGATATTTATTAAAAGTTTAAGAATTACAGAAAAAAATTTGACAAAGATAAAAAGAAAAGCATAAAAAACAATACAACAATACAGCAAAAAAATAAAAACACAATAACATTAAAACACACATCCAATGTTCCATATCTTTATCTTTCGATTACTTGTTTCATCGACCTCCTCACACCTCCCTTTTTGTATTCTAGTTTAATTTATTGTTTCAGCAAATTCTTTCCATCTTTCTCAATTTTTGTTATATAATTTATCTTAACGATCTAACCTTTTAATTAACTCAACAAATCCTTTCCATCTTTCACTATATTCTGTCATTCAATTTACCTTAATTTATTTAACCTTATCTTACCATAAAAAAAAAACTTAAAACTTAAAACTTAATATATATAACTCCTTATATCATTTCTACTAAGGCCAAATAGTTTCATTCCAACATTTTTCCTAATACTCCTTAATTTTACACTAATTCTCAAAATATTTTTTAAAAACTTTCTTCCAATCTTCATCCAACGTCTCTTCTTCCTGGTCTCGGGTTTTGTCAGTCCTTCTTGTCCATTCCATCTAGTCCCTCAACCTGGTAATCTTATGTCCGAGGCTCTTAAGTCATTTCCATGTCCCTTCTGCAGATCTTCTTCTTGTTTATACCTGCACTTTACTTTGTCTTTTGTTGATCTTTTTCTTAATTTCTTTCCTTTCTCATTGGGGGGTAGGTCTCGGGGGGGACTCCAATCCAAAAATATCTCCATCTCTCCTCATCAGATCAGCCCATTCCCCACAGTCCCATTACCCCACAGTCAGCACTGTAATCCAGAAAGTATTTAAAAGCATGTTTCAAAGTCCTTCCAAAATTAAGAGCCCTCACAACTCCAGACCCCCCCGGTCCACTCCAGATTCAAATTTCTAGAACAACGGCTTATGCTCCTGCAAGGCCTTGGATCTCTCCATTTGTGTTACTTGAGGTTCAACAGCAACCTCCTCCATTATCTTCTGCACTTGCGCTTGCCCTGTCAACACAAGTTCCTGGGCTGGTTCCTGAATGATTTCTATATGGGTATTTGCCGTTTGTCCAAAGTTTTTAACTGCAACAGTCATCAAATCCATCTTCTCATGCATCTGCTCCAGCAAAGCGCTTGTCTTGCAATGAGCAAGCACCAAAACGTCTTGTAAACACATTTTTATTCAAGGTCAGAGTCTGGTCTCACGATCATAATCTTACAGCTGTGAAATCCCCAGATCGACTCCGGCAACAAATTAACAAGCTCCCTCTAGAGGAGACAATTTCTATTTGTATCCATCTTTTGAAAGCAGGACCAACAAGAAAAAAAAGATTACTTTCATTTTTCAAATACTTTGTTTCTTTTAAATGCAAGATGGTGAGATCCACCTGGCTGGCGGAAAGACGTTGCGAATCGCAGGAGAAGGGACTGTGAGACTGGCAAGTCTGCGCACAACCATCAAAGGTGTACTTTATGTTCCAGGTGCTGCAGACAATTTGCTCAGTGTCCCACAGCTGACTGGGCATGGTTTTGAGATTTCCTTCAAGAGGAGCGTCTGTGTCATCAGGAAAGGCAAAGAGGACATTTTGCATGCAAAGTTTATAGATGGATTGTTCTGTATAACTTATGATGACAATGGTGCTGTTGTGTCTAATGCTGATTCTAAGTCCATTAAGTTCGCAAAGAGTGTTGAGTACAATCCTAAGTGGGGGGGAAATGTGGGAATTTTCCAGAGTTACCCAGAGGAAGATGAAGGTGATGTGAAAAAAGCAGCTGATGTTGAGTTAGAAGAGGAAGCTGAGGATGATGATGATGATGATGATGATCAGAGTTCGGATTCCAGTTCAGTGGGCGGCGCTGCTGCTGTCAGCGACAGTGATGACACAGCAGACTACAAGAGCGCAAAGGCCTCAGTCAGACCATCTGATGCGTCTGACAATGAACTGGAAAAACCACTGTTCACCATTGGTCACTTTTCTCCTAAGAAGGAGGAGATGAGTCCAGAAGACTTGCATCTAGTACACAGATCTGAAAGGGCGATGAAGGGCAAACCTCCAAAGAGATTTGCTGATGAGTTTGCTAAGACGGCAACTGCTGTTCTTAGTAGCTCAGAGAAGGTGTGGGAACCTTCAAGCTTCAAAGAGGTTCAGGAGTTAACCTCTAAAGATGCTGAGCCTTGGCTTAATGCCATGAAGGCTGAAGTTGATTCCTTGAATAGGGGCCAAACTTTGGAACTGGTACCGGTAGTCCCAGGAATGAGACTGGTTGGCAGCAAATGGGTCTTCAAGGCCTAAGTAAGCCTAAGTTCCTGTGAAGCAGAACTCAATGCTCTGTCATTTTCACTCATGGATTGTGAATGGTTGATGCAACTGTTTAAGGACATCAGAGTTTCTGTGAAATGTCCTATACAAGTATATCAAGACAATAGATCCTGTTTGGCTTTGCTGAACTCAGAGAGTTGCAAGCAAAGAACCAACTACTTTCAGATTAAGCTACATCGTGCAAGAGAGTGTATTGAGAAAGGACTCATTCAGGTGTCCTACATGGCAGGAAATGAAATACCTGCTGATCTGTTGTCTAAGGTTGTTAACAGAGAACAACTTAAGGTTTATGTACAGAGGTTGCAATTGGGTTGAACCACAGGTACCACAGGTTACATGGAAAGGGGGAGGATGTTAGGATATTTCCGTTCCACCTTAAAAGGGAGCAGGCTTTGTGAGTCACAGAGTCTGCGTATTTCCTGTTCACAGGATGTTTCTGTTGTGTCTTTGCTTTCATTTCTCTCTCTGTGTCAGAGACACTGAAGCAGGCAGTCATGTTTTCTTTGTTCTGCTCAACGCTGAATAAACTTGTAAATAATGCTCTCCTGCGTGCATCTTTCGCTGGGCACTATCTGCTGATAGAGCGTGCATCGGCTCTGGAATGTGGCAGGCTATTTCTGGAGCTCGTGTCGCTAATTGCTGATACTGCGTGTCTACGGGAGATCGATGGACGTCCGGAGGCGGCCTGGGGGCCATGATGGACTTTGTCTCCCTGGCAGTATCCCAACAGCTGCAGGGTTCTGTCCTGGGCCCGTTGTTGTTCAACGTCTTTAGAAATGACTTGGATGAAGGAACTGAGGGGATGCTCATCACATTTGCAGGCAACCCCTGCTGTGAGTACCTGCAGGTCCCATCCCTGCCTCTCTCCATCTGGTCCAGGATGGGACCTGCTGTCCATCCTGGCTGATAAAAGCAAGCCGGGAAGGGCTGGGCGATGGGCTTCGTGGGGTGGTGAATGCTTCTCTCTGTGAGGGGGCCTTCCCAGACCCACGGAAAAAGACAGTTATTAAACCGCTTCTTTAAAAAACATCTTTAGACCTGGCCAATAAGGCCACCTATCACCCAGCCTCAAATCTTCCATTCTTGGGCAAGGTGATTGAGCAAGTGGTTGCTGAACAACTCCAGACACGCCTGGAAGATGCAGACCATTTGGATCCCTTCCAGTCGGGATTCAGGCCTCATCATTTGACTGAAAATGCTTTGTTCGCAGTGGTCGATGATCTCTGGTGGGCTAGGGACAAAGGTGAGAACTGTTTCCTAGTTCTGCTGGATCTCTCAGTGGCTTTTGATACCATTGCCCATAACATCCTTCTGGACCATCTGGAGCAGGGGTGGCCAACTCCCGAGAGACTGCAATATACTTTAAAAATTAAAATCTGGCAGTGATCTACCCCCGTTTTTTAGGAATTGAGGTCAAAGAGTTGTTGAGCTTTTTGGGAGGAAATGC